ACGTAAACGCAAGCCTGCGTTCAGTGTTGATCAATTACTAATACTTCATGTTAAATCATTGTTTGGAAAATGCAGGCGAGGGGTTTCTGCGAGGGGTTTCTTGTACATAACATAAGCTTCAATTCAATGTGAAATTCAACTACAAACGCTTAGCAAAACGTTTTAAAATGTTCTTAAAACTAAAAGCAAACAATACATCAAATTAAAAACAAACTTACCATCATTAACGCCGGCGACGTTTTCAGACGGTTTTTGGCTCTCAAAGAGGTTTTGATATTTGCAAAATCTTTCAAAAACCGAGGCAAAAACATAATATATTTGCTGATTTGCAAGAAATGTTTGTTATTTCGGTGTCGTCATTTGTCATATGACAACAAAATAATTTTAAATTTGACCAATCAGTGTTCGCTATTCATGACAGGCCGCCACATATTTTGAGATCAGTGAGGATGACCAGCCCATAGATACAGGAGATCTAGATTGCTAACGCCTACATGATAAATCCAAGATGGCGGTACAAGAGGGCAAAAAGACTATAGATTCTATTACGAAAATCAAGATTTTTGCATTTTTTGCCGTCGCATTGTTTTGAAACTTATTCGGTCAAATTTTATAGCAAAGAGAAACTTACCGCGAAGATTTTGAGCATATATATGATTGAATTGGATGGAAACTCGCAAAATTATCCAGCGATAAAAGTTCGTGTGAAATGGTCAGTTGGTCAGTTGGATCGTATTATTGCCAGAAATACTGTGCTATGTTAACATTTAGTCTTGTGAATGGTGTTTTATACTTGCATCTTTCATCATCATCTGCTCTGTCCTCATAATTATGAAAAATGAACTGTTATGTACCCCCCCCCCTCCTTGCTTGTTAGAGAAGTAAACTGATGAGAGCACTGAATAAGGGTCTATCACCTATGGTCTGTTATAATTTGCTTTCCATGCAAATAGTGAGCAAAAATTAAAGCAAAACTGTACAAGTTACATATATAATACTATATCAGTACTACACACGAACTTTTATCGCTGGATAATTTTGCGAGTTTTCATCCAATTCAATCATAAATATGCTCAAAATCTTCGCGGTAAGTTTCTCTTTACCATAAAATTTGACCGAATAAGTTTCAAAACAATGCGACGGCAAAAAATGCAAAAATCTTGATTTTCGTAATAGAATCTATAGTCTTTTTGCCCTCTTGTACCGCCATCCTGGATTACTCATGTAGGCCCCGCCTGCGCTAGGTATGCGTTAGCAATCTAGATCTCCTATATCTATGGACCAGCCACTCAACATCGTTGGTCACCCAAGCCCGCGATCATTGATGAACTTTAGACTTCGCTTATGCTTTCGTTTCCCCGGGTGTAAATAGCCGGGCGGAATTAGTACGTTCGCCCCGGGCTTAGGCCAGGAACGACGCTCAGCGCCGTTGGCTTGGGGATAAGCCGTATACGAATTGGAGACCAAATAAAATAATTAGGACTCGTTTTGCACAGGAATGGCTCCTAAATTAGACTAAATGTTAACAGCGGAGACAATCTTTTTCAATCTTGACCAATCTATGGATCTTTTAACTTCCTTCGCAAGGATCATGAAAACCGCCGTTTGAAGCATCCGCAATTGCAGGCGCCGAATATAAACAGGTTGAAACAACTATTAATGTAAATCATCATCTTGGACAAGGTCGTGAAATGTTTTTCATAGCGAAACTCCTATCCACTTCCAAATCCTTTCCATATCCAGTAAATATCACCAGGTAATATACAAATGAGGAAAACCAGCACAGCAAAGCTAAAAATCTTCATGATTCGCATGTTGCGCTCCAAACGTATGCGTTGCACGTGATTCGAGACCCCTGCGTTCACCGCTTCGAACTTCTTCGTGTTCACGTAAAGTTCATACCCAGCTCTTCCGTAGCAAAACGTAATAATGGTCAGAGGGATGCAACAATCTATCACAAGTAATGACAGTGTATAGTAAGCATCGCTCATTTCGTGTGGCCAGTTTTCATAATATTCCGTTCCATCAAAGTTGAGGTGATATATATAAGGTGCTATCACACACAAGGCTAACAACCACCGCACACGCGATTGCTTTGAGTAGATCAGAGTGAGTCAACCGCGGTTTAAAAGGGAACAATATCGCCCGATATCTTTCATAATTGTCATATATTTCCAGTGGTATGCATAACGAGCACACGACAATGTCCGTCATCACTAAATTTAGAATGAAGTACTCGCTCAATTTTCGTTTTTGTTGAGATTTCTAATGGTCTGCATACTGCAAAATAGAGCTGCAAAAATAATAATGACTTTGAGGTACAATACTCCTGGTATAGAAGCAATAAACGCTCTAGGGTGGGAGCCTCTTGAAACTCGACGAGCCAAATCTAATGTTAAACAAATGTACAAAGTTCTAAATGATTTGGCTGCAGAGGCGTGGCTGGGGCCGGGGGCACGGCCCCCCTGGCAACGTTTTGCCCCCTCCTGATAAAATATATTGTATAAAAAAAAGGGAATCCTTGATTATATAGCTTCATGCTGTCAATAATGCAAACATTCTGTAGAATATATGCTTTGCTGCACATCAGTGTGAAACCTAAAATCTTGTTCGCTTATTTGCGGCATACGGCTTGAAACACACGAAACTTTGCGTCTCGATTCACTGGCGGCTTGGCCTCACCTAGGTTTTTGCTGCCCCCCCCCCTCTAACCAAAAATCCTGGCTACGCCTCTGTTTGGCTCCTTTGAATCTATTATTAAGTATGGGCTAGATACCCTTCTTCCAATTTGCTCAAAAGTGAAATTTGCTAATGACCCTCCTTGAATTTCTCTGAAACTGAAACAACTTATTCAGCATCGTCGCGTCAAAGATGCTTAAATCAAGGAGAGGTTATAACATTTCGACGCCTGAGGAATGAAATCAATCGTGAGAGGAAGTCTTGTCGATCATAAGTTCTGCGATGCGATAGTTAACGAACTAAAAGAAAGTGCCCCTGCTAGGTGGTGGAAAGAAATAAAAAACTTAATGGCATCTCCACGCAAGTTACAAACTCAGGGGATGTTATGTCGATGCTCCATAATTTGGAAATTGACTCAGTCAATCTAGCTTTTCCTAGCTTTAGCCCGCATCAACTAGCCAATGTAATCAATAAAAACTTTCCTAGAACCAATGCAAGATTTTAATCCCCTACCACCAACTTATTTACAGCAAGATGAAGAGAGAACTTTACCAGAGTTCCGCGTCACTGAGCATCAACTTTTTAGAAGTCTATCATTATTAAGTCCAAGGAAGTCCACGCACAGGACCAGGTGGTATTCCTGGCTAGGTTCTCAAGGAAAATGCAGATATACTGGGCGCTCGACCAATCTCTGATATTTTAAACCAGTTATACTGTGAAGCTCGTTTACCTAAATCCAGGAAGAGTGCGGAGATTACTCCAACATCAAAATTTTATTTGCTTGCCGCAAATACGCGCAAATTGAATCAATGCCAATAGCAAACAAAACAACTAACAAAATGTAAGAAATCCAATCGAACAGTGCTACTAACACTACTTTATTACCATTGAATCTTGATGCTCGACGATTTAAACACGTACGTTTACTTTTAAAGGTATCACTTTGAACAATCAAACTGCACAAAGCGACGCAAGCTAATGATCAAAACCTGAAAATTAAAACATCATCGTTGAAAATGCGTATGCGAAAGAAAGACGCGTTGCGTCTCTGCTGATCCTCAGTATCGGTGTTGAAAGTTACTTTCGCCAACGTCTTTCTACAATACAGTAGGATAAACAGTTAAATATAATGTGATATAATATGGAAAAAAAAAAGATACCGTCAAATACATTTGATTCGCACACATACCCTATTCTTGCAAGGAGTTTTGCGAGTTCCACACTTGCAGCTGGCAGAACACACAACGTTCTTTGCTTTACGCGAGAAACCTCGGTTACTGTTCTCTTTTCTTTGAAGTTTTACAACTACAATTGTCAACCTGTATGAAATGAAGCAAATATTTGGTCTTTTCCGCTGCTGAAAATGTAAATATATGCACATTTTTATAGTCGGAATGTTGTGATTCCGATCCGACATTTTCTGAAAATCGGTTTGTTATGCGCAGCTCGGATTCGCAGCGGGTGACATTGCCGCTTTAACATGAAGTTGGGGTTGTTTAGATAAAAAATTACGTAGAGTTTCGTTTTGAATTTTACATTAAAATAAAGCCCATAGTCATAGAAACCAAACTAATATACCTACTTTATATATTTTAGAAATCGACAGTTCTGTATTTAAAAGTGTTCAAATTTCATCTATTTTTTTCAGGTTTGTACAAAAAAACACGATGCGTTCAGTGTTGGCATAATTACAAATACTTCAGTCATGTTGAAACAATGTTTGGAAAATATAGGCGAGGGGTTGTTGCATGCATGTATTTCTAGTACAGTAATAATAATGAAAACTTTATTAAATGGATATTTAGCTTATATATACAATTGCAAATCTCACTTATATCAGGTAATTTACAACTGGCTACTTAAATCACTGATTATATATGCAAAAATTATACTATTAAGATAACAAAATGACAGTACAACGTTTAAACACTTAACAATTCCGGATTCATCCATTCCTTGTTTCGACAACAAAATATATAATACGTTGTTCGGATTGCAATCGTCGTCATTCTTCTAATACAGTAATTCTGATGTTGCTTTTGAAAACCAAAATCATTAAGCATTTCTATGAAAGTAGAACATTCTTTACTGAAAACACCAAGAGAACTAATCGAAAGATTTACAAATTTTACAGAGTTGAAATGTTCATTTTGTTCCCTAATTAATTCTTTATATTTTGATTTTTTACGCTCTACGTTTTTTTGAAGATTTGATTCGAAGCCAACTGTAAGTTCAACAATGTAGAGTGTTCCAGTTGAGGTTGAAAGAAGCAAATCTGGACGGTAGGTGTCACCAGTGATGATTGATGGACTTTTGTACCCTGGGAGATCCACGTAAAGATGTGAGCCGCTTACGGTCTGCAGGCTTGTTGCGAGAAAGTTTAGAACGGAGTCATGTCTCCACGTGAATCGTTCTAGATACGATTGGCAACCAGCTACTACGTGCAGAAGTGTTTCAGGAGCTAGACATTGCGAACAGTTTGAAGTCGGTGATAAACCCCATCTTGCAAGGTTTTGGCGCGTTGGAAGGGAGTTATTGATGTATCGAACTGTAAAGTTGAATATATTTTTCGGAAGGTTCGATTGGCACGCAGACCAAATTTTAGTGAGTTGGGACAGTGAGAACTTTGTTATATTAGTGAAGGAAGAGCCCTGACAGGTTAATTGAGTATGCAGTTTATCCTCTTGGCCAGAGCGAAAGTCCTTGAGAACTTGCTTAGTGGAGTTATAAACGTCATACTGAATATTTTTGCTGTTGCTAGTTGCTTTCCAAAGATCGTTAATTGCTTCGTTTGGGGATGTTTTTAGGGCTTTACGGAGAACAGTTTGACATTGAATAAATTTGACAGATGGGGGACAAATACTGAGGCCAAACTTGTTGCGGGTTAGGAAAACACTGCTTAGCGTTCCAGATATAGGTATATCAAGCCATTTACGGATATAACTGTTGACTTTGGAATCAATGTTTTCGGTGACCCACGTTTTCGATACGCTAGAAACTGTAAAATGCCAGGATAATTTTGACAGAAGATATCGACTGTAGAGGAGGATTTTATTTTTTGGATGTAATGGTTTGGAATCAATATCTGCCATTAGTTCTTCAACGAGTGAGATTAGTTCAGACTTGTGGTGTTCGTCTGACATATTAAAACTAAAGTATCTTCCTAAGTATTGAAAAGCCTCACCGATATTGATCTTTGGAATTAGTTGCTTGTTAATAAGTAGTTTAGGCAAGTATTGGATTGATTTTGTTAGAGATTTTTTGATGCCAAAGGTACTACATTTATCAACCCGAATAATCATGTTGGACCATTGGCACCAAATGGAGAACCGGTTTAGAAGATGTTGATTTTCGGATTCTTGACTACTTATGACGGCGGCATCATCAGCAAACTGAAACCAGTGGATGGGATTTATAAACTGTAAGGAGAAGCCGAATTGACGATATTTATCTGTTTTTATGTGTTGTATAAAGGTGTTGAAACACATGTTGAAGAGAAGAGGACTCATGCAATCACCTTGCAATACTCCACGGCGAACTGGTATGAAGGGGGTACGGAATTCAGATGTAATTATTGAAGTTTTGAAATCGGTATATAGACTTTTAATTATCAATTTAATAATAATAATAATAATAATAATAATAATAATAATAATAATAATAATAATAATAATAATAATAATAATAATAATAATAATAATAATAATAATAATAATTATTATTATTATCATTATTATTATTATTACAACATGGCCGCCAGAAAGCAAAGTTTGGGGTTGGCATAAACTGAATTTATTTTAAACCTTTTGTGATAGATTTATCAACTTTTACTTGCTCTTTGGAAACCTGAATGCTTTTTCAATTTTGATGCTCAATTAAGAAAGGAAAATTTTGTGTATTGGAGAAGATGGTGTTTTAGTCAGCTATTGGGTCGATTTCAAGAAATATTTATTATACACGATGTCGCGACAGCAGCGATCGAAATTAAAATGGACAGAGCAAAAGAATACAGATCTGCTATAATGTAAGAAGAAAGCGATGGAATTCCTTAAATCGGAAAACCCGCCATGCCATGTGAACGGCAGAAAGAAGGGTTATATACAAGTTATGAAAGACCTGTGGGACAAGAAAGGATACGAACATCTTGGATTGAAGAGCCAAAACCTGCGAAATCAAGCCGCTAGGCTTGAGAAAATTAACGCTACAGCTGAGACTCGTGCTATCGGTAAGGTAAGCGGCGGAGCGGTTATCAATGACGAAAGAGAGCAGACATTAGATGAAAACCAGAGAAGGCACAACACGATTTCACAACATGAATTTAACAATTTTGAAAATCAAAACACCATTAGTCAAAATGCAAATTTGGAGGTAAACCGCAATCTGGATTTGCATACAGACAATGATATTGTCCAAAACAGTCACGAACCGCAAGAAACCGAAGCTGTAGAGGGTTTTGAAGTGACTAATGACTGTCCTGGTGAACCACACGCCGGCATACATGAAGCAGGACGTCTACCCGACTATGTTGCTGTTGATATACCATCGATTACCATCTGGGGACGCAGAGCGGACGGCTCAATAATTACGGTCAACTCGTCAACCATAATTAATGCATACGATGAAATTACGTGATGGCGTAAAAATACTTTCCTCGTCCCCTATGGCAAAGTTGGGCGAGACTTTATCGACCAGCTAACACAACATATAAACGATTGGAACAACGCATCGCAAACACAACACATAGCGCTGAAAGCTGCAATTGTTCTCTTGGCAACGGCACTGCAAATGTCAAGCGTAAAATCGAAGGCAAAAGATCACAAAGAGTGCTTGGAAAAACGACTAGGGCTATGGAAAGAAGGAGAAGTCGAGAGCTTACTTCGTGAAGGCCGGTCCATTCAAAAGCGTCTAGCAAGGGCTAAAAGGACGGAGCCTCCAAATAAAGCGAAGATATTCGCCAAGTTGGTCATGGAAGGTTAGATCAATTCTGCTTTGAGATATCTCAGTGAGGCTGATTGTGATGGAGTGCTGCCTTTGACAGACGACGTGATGAGACAGCTTCAGGAGAAACACCCTGAGGCACAAGAGGCCAAACTTGGCTCGTTACTCTTCGGGCCATTTGAGGAAGTCCACGATTCGTTATATCAGCAGATTGATGGCGAAATGATATGCTTGACAGCATTGCGAACCAAGGGCTCCGGCGGCCCTTCAGGCCGGAGTGGATGCAAATGGACTCAAGCGTATTTTCGCATGTAAATCGTTTAAGAAATCAGGCGTAAACTTGTGTGAGGCAGTAGAAACAATGACCCGGCGGCTATGTACGGAATACATTGACCCGAGAACTATCGAGCCTATATTAGCCAACAGGCTTATACCTCTTGACAAAGGCGAGGGCGCGGTTCGTCCAATTGGCGTCGGAGAAGTTATCAGGGGGATTGTCGGGAAATGTGTTATGAAAGTGATTAAGCCCGACGTGATTGATGCCAGTGGATCGCTACAGGTGCGCGCAGGTGTTAAGAGCGGAAGTGAGGCAGCCAGTCATGCGATGCACTCCATATTTGAAGCAGATGAGACAGATGTCGTACTTCTGATTGATGCCTCAAACGCATTCAACGCACTCAATCGAGCGGCTGCACTCCACAACATAACAGTTCTGTGTCCATCTATGTCAACCTACGCAATTAACACCTATCGCGAACCAGCTAGACTATTTATATCTGGTGGAGGAGAGTTCAAGTCCACCGACGGTACCACACAAGGGGATCCCCTGGCCATGGGGATGTATGCCATCAGTCTTCAACCCCTGATCACCGGATTGAATGTGTCAAGCAATGTTAAGCAATGTTGGTTTGCAGACGACGCGAGTGGCGCGGGATTTCTGGAAGATATCAAGCGATGGTGCGAACACCTGAATGAAGCTGGCCCTAATTTGGGATACTTTCCAAATGCTAAGAAATGCTGGCTGATCATAAAGCCTGGAAAAGAAGAAAGTGCTCATGCTATTTTTGATGGGACAGCGATCAATATCTCTGCGCAGGGGCAAAAGCATTTGGCGCAGCCTTGGGTTCTATGGCTTTCCTGGAAGAATACGTCAACGGCAAGGTAGAGGACTGGGTTAGCCAAATCGTCAAGCTAGCTGAATTCGCAGCCTCACACCCTCAAGCCTGCTATGCCGCCTTCACCTTTGGCCTCCGCCAGCCCTTGGAGCGTGCTATTGCTGATGTCCTGATACCATCAATTACGGATCATCACTGTACAAAGAGTGAAAGGGATCTCCTGGCACTCCCAGTACGAATGGGCGGTCTTGGCCTTATAAATCCTAGACAGGATGCAGCACTGCAGTACGAAACGTCGATAAAGACCACAACGCCACCGGTAGAGAAAATTATTGCACACTCCTACGAAATTCCAGATGACTCTGTTATTCACACACTGCAGCAGAATGCGCGAAATGAAAAGAACGAAGTACTTCAGGCTAAACGGGATGGTATTAAGAACTCTCTACCCCCGAAAACACGGCGTGCCATGGAACTAGCAACCGAAAAAGGTGCATCCAACTGGCTAACAGTTATCCCCATTAAGGAAATGGACTACAATCTGAACAAGGGTGAGTTTCGAGACGCAGTAAATCTGAGATATGAGTGGAAAATTGCTGATAAGCCATCAGTATGCGTGTGTGGCGATACTTTCAATATTGATAACGCAATGATCTGCAAGCGAGGTGGGTTCATTATACAGCGCCACAACGAGCTGCGGGATCTTGAGGCTGATATGCTTAACATCGTCTGTAATGATGTCGAGGTTGAACCCGTTCTTCAAGAGTTAACTGGCGAGGTTTTACCAAGAGGAGCAAATACAGCATCCGACGCTCGTCTAGATATCCACGCTCGAGGGTTTTGGGAGAAACAAAGGTCCGCGTTCTTTGACGTTAGGGTTTGTCACCCCAACGCGGAATCCTACAAAGACCTGAGCCCTCAACAGATATACAGGCAACATGAAAACGAGAAGAAGAGGATGTATGCCCAAAGAGTGATGGAGATAGAACACGGAACTTTTACACCATTAGTATTTACAACGACTGGAGGCATGAGTGAAGAGTGCAAGAGGTATCATAGCAGATTGGCCGAGCTCATAGCAGCGAAGAAAGGCGAAGACTACTCTACGACCATGTCCTGGATACGAGCCAAGGTCTCCTTTGCCATCTTGCGGTCAGCTCTACTTTGTCTCAGAGGGACTAGAGCACCCAGGAGGATGACAACGAACGTTCAAGAAACGGACTTCGAAGTAGACAATTCTCGTGCCAAAATTTAGGCTTAGACTTTTACCATAAATTAACTGCTTACTATAACATATACTATAACATACTACAACAATTTAGATTTTATAAATTATTATTATTATTATTATTATTATTATTATTATTATTATTATTATTATTATTATTATTATTATCTTAGTTTTATACCTGTAATATAGTTTTATCAATAAATTTGCTAGATAAATTAAAAAAAAAGGAATAATAATAATAATAGTAATAGTAATAATGGAAACTTTATTTATTTCATAATATACCATAAAACTTTATTTACATTGATAAACCTCGCTCATAAAGGTAGTTTATCGATGACTACTTGAAAAATATTTGATTATATAAATTTACAAAAAAAATAAGGAATTTAATATCGTTCAAAATTTTAAAAGCTCTGGGTTAGTTCAGACTTTGTTTCGTTGACAGAATACATAATATGATGCTCGAATACAAATAGCAATGATTTTCTTTTTAATGTATTTAATTTGTTGTTCATCGAACTTCAGTTCCTCAAGCATATCAATTAAGGTGTTCGTCGATTGACCAAAAACACCCAGCGAGCTTACGGATACATTAACAATAATAATAATAATAATAATTATAATGGAAACAGGATTTATTGCTAACAACTAAGTATATAAAAGATCGAGATTACTAACTAAAACTACTCTATATAGAACTGATATAATGTACTATAGTGTTTATCTCCTGCGTAAACGCAGGGCAGTCCACTGAGAAAACAGGCAGTTAAATGTTCATACTTGTCTTCATTAGTAAAATTTAAGTATATTAGGGTTCGTCCATTCTTTGTTCCGCCGTATATAAATGTAGAAGGAAGCCCTCATGGCCATTTCCATACACTTGGAGATCTTCCTTTGAAAGTTAATATTAGTTCCCTTAAATAACACTTTTATATCTTCAAAGTGAGATGTTACAATTCCAAGGGAAGTTATTTCGATCGAGAAAAATTGAAAGCCTCTCCATCTGTCTTTACTAATACTAATACTAATAATAATAATAATAATAATAATAATAATAATAATAATAATAATGTAAACACATTTTATTTCATTTCATACAAATATTAGTAACCAGCTCTCACTAAAGTATTATAGGCAACCTGGCTACATTATGGTACAAAAGATTAAGAAAAGAATACAATGTTAAACTAAGCTTAAAATATTTACAAATCATCAAAATGGAATTTCTACAGAAATGCTATTACAATGGTTATTTTAAAATACGTTCGTAAGGTAACAACGTAGACAGTGTCAAATAAGATAACTGTACATACACATGACAGCATGAATCCTACCAATATAAAAGTTCAGGGCAAGACCATTGTCTGTTTCTAGAGCAAAATATATAATAACTTGTCCTTATGCAGCAGCCGGTTAGTTTTCTAATGATGAATTTTCTTTGCATATCGCTTAATCTTACTTCGCGGTCCAAAAAGTCATAGAACTGTTTACATTCATGACTTAAAACTCCAATCGCGCCCATGCATAAGTTAAAATACGTTACTTTGTTAAATCGTTCTCTTAAAAAGTTACAAAGATCCTTGTATCGTTCCCTTTTCCTTAAACAGTTTTTTGCCATATTAGTTTCAAAGCCGATTGTCAATTCAATAACATATATATTTTGGTTGTTGTCTGATATTACCAAGTCTGGTCGGTCATTACAGCCTGTGATCACAGATGGATTATCAAAACCAGAAATGTCTGCATAAACGTGAAAGTCCCTTCTGACACTAGATATGTACGTTGCTAGGTGTTTCAGCACTGAATTATGTCTCCATGTGTATCGACCTTCGTCCAGGGATGTTTTGCAAGAAGACACTATATGTTGTAGTGTTTGCACATTCAAGCAGAAATGACACAGATTATTTTGAGCTTTCTTCCACAAAACCATGTTTGTTAATGTAGGTAGGGTGTTATTTAAATATCTAGTTACGAAGTTGTATATGTTTTTAGGGAGTTTGTCAACTGCCGAGTGCCAATCTTTCGCTGTACCCTGGAAAGCATCTCTCCAAATCGACTTAATTATAAGACTCTGCGACGTTAGCTTGCTTTCAATATTAAAGATCTTATCTTTCCTAATTTCTTTGGCAACCTGTTTTGCGGTGGAGAAACCATCGTACTGCACATTACAGTTTGAGCTAGATGCGTAGAAAAGGTTTTGAGTGTCTAGGCAACTCGAGTCTTTTAATTTATTTCGCAAAATTACTTGACATTCAGTGAATTTTGTTGATACATCAATGATGTCGAAACCGAATTTGGATTTCCCAAGAAGCAATATGTCAAGGGTGCCGTTTGGTGGTATCTCAAGCCATGTCCGAAATTTATTGTGGCACATTGTGTCTAAAGTTTGCTTTATCCATGTTCTATCAATGTCTGCAATAGTGAGATGCCAAGATATTTTCGGGAGCAGATATTTCATATATAACTCAAGCTTAAATTTTGAGTGTAGAGGGAGACGATCGATTTTTTCTAAGATGCTGCTAGTCTCAGACAGCAAGAACTGTTTATGTTCTACGTTATCCATCGGGAAGTTGTAAAATCTACCGAGATAACAAAAGCTTTCGTTCCCCTTTACCGCTGTAATTAAGCCGTGGTTAACGTAAATTTTCGGAAAATACTGCTTGGATAATGAGTTCCTTTTGATAATTCCGAATGACTTGCATTTGTCGACTCTTAGCGTCATTTTTGCCCAATTACACCACATGGTGAATGCATTCAGTAATATTTGTGTCTCGTACTCCTCACCTGTTGTTATCACCGCGTCATCGGCAAATTGAAACCAATGTTTGGGGGTTAGAAACGGCTGCCCAGCATTAAATCCGAGTTGACAAAACTGATCCGTTTTAATGTATTGAATAAACGTATTCATTACCATGTTGAACAACAACGGGCTCAAACAATCTCCTTGTAGCACTCCTTTACTCACTTTAAGGAACGGTGTTAGATATTTTTCCGTAACCACTACCGTACGGAAGTCAGTATAGAGGTTTGCAATACAATTTTGAAAATGCTCGGGGATTTGATGATATTTTAGTACTGTTTGAATCAGCTTATGGTGGACTTCGCCAAATGCATTTCTTAAGTCAAGCAGTGCTATTGTTAGAGATCTTTGTTGTTTTTTCGCTCGTCTAATTAAGTATGCTAAATGGGCCGTATGTTCAAACGTGCCGGACATTCCCGGAGTAAATCCTTTTTGAATCCTATTTTCAATATAATTGTTTTTTGATAGAAACTCATACATGGCATTCCGTATTGTTGATGTAAAAATTTTGAGAGGCACTGATTGCAGGGTAATTGGTCTAAAGTTTTGAGGATCGTCAGTTGATTCTTTTTTGTGAATAAGAATTGATGCAGCTCTTCTCCAAGTGTCAGGAATTTGGCC